TGTTTTTATGCTCCAAGGATGTGTTGTCATACATGAAAAATAGTGCCGATTGCATTAGCAAACGATCGATGTAAAACCATGCCACGTTTCTGCAACTGTCAATTAAAACAATTTTCTTCTGGTGGTTGAATGGTCCAAGGTTGGACCGTTTTCACCCATGGGTTAGGGGTCCAGGGCCCCGCTGGGAGGAAGGCAGTGTTTACAGAACATTGGAGACCCAAATGAACACTGTTAGGCAGAGCGGACAGGAAGTATGTGTCCCCGTGTGAAGAGAAGGGCAGGCATCGGGGAAGGTACAGCGCCGGCGATCTAGCAAGACAGTGAGGTTAAGATAGTTCATAGTTCACGAATGTCTGAAATATTTTAAGAACCACAAAGCTGCAACACGTGATTTTGCCAGCCAGTCACTAGAAAACTGAGGAACGGCAATGCCCTTTTACTAATCTACAAAAGCTCTGTGCCTTTACGCAGCAAGTTTCCTGGTGATGGACATCTGGATTGTTCCTGGCTTGGGATCCTTAGGAAGGGCGTGGCTGTGGGAGCCCGGTATGCGGACACCTGCGCACACCCTTCTCACAGAGCACACAAGGGCGAGGGGGTGAGCACTGGCCAGACCTCCTGGGTCCTGCCAGACCGTTTCCAAAGTAATTGTCCCAATTTATCTTCCCACACCAGCACATGAGGACAAACGGCTGCTTCTGTAACCACGTGGTGTGGACTGGAGAGGGGGCTGGGCCCGGGCGGTGGACTGTGGAACAGCACCCCCACTGCATCCCCCCACTCCAACACGGATCCCCAACCCACCCACCAAACCCGCCCCTCCTCCACTGCACCCCAAATCTCCCCCACCCACCTACCATTCCCCCCACCCCTCCCCACCTCACCAACACTGTTCCCCAACCCCCTCCCCTGCAACCCCAACCCACCTCCACCCAACCCAGGAGCTGCCTCCTCTAATTCCGCCTCCTCTTCTGGGCTCAACGCCAAATCCCTCCAACGGTTTCCCTGGCATCCTTTCAGTCTCCCACCAACGCCAAACCAGGCCATTAGCATGGCCCCCCAGGACTGTAGTGACCTCTTCTGGGCTGCCTGGCCCCACTCCTGCTCCTGTCCCTACCCACACAGCCCAGCGGGAGTGGCTCGACCCTGCTAAGCCTCAGTTTCCGCATCTGTCAAATAAGGATTTTTTTTTAAAGCTGTGTGCGGCTTAAAGGTGCTCAAGATTGCCTTTGTTTAGACGATACACTACATTATGTCAATTACTCTAAGAGGTTCATGGAGCACAGTGAACCCTCGGAAATTTTGGAGCCACAGGTGCAACTTTTTACAGCGGCAATGTGTGCACAAAGCATACCTTGTTTTCTTTCTAATGTTGTGTAGTGGTCAAGAGCATGGCCCCGGGATTCGGACTGCCTGGGTTCAAATCCCAGCTCTCGAAACTCACCAGCTGTGCCACCTTAGAATCATTACTTAACCTCTCTGGTCCTCAGTTTTCCCATTTATCAATGCAGGTCAAAACCATCCCTGTCTCATTGAGTTGTTGTGAGACTGAATGAGTTGAAGCATGTAAAATATAGTTAGGACAGGGGCACCTGGGTGGCTCAGTGGGTTAAGCCTCTGCCTTCGGCTCAGGTCATGATCTCGGGGTCCTGGGATCGAGCCCCGCATCGGGTTCTCTGCTCGGCAGTGAGCCTGCTTCCCCCTCTCTCTGCCTGCCTCTCTGTCTACTTGTGCTCTCTCTCTCTCTCTGTCAAATAAATAAATAAATAAAATCTTTAAAAAAAAATAAAAAATAAATAAATAAAAAAAATATAGTTAGGACAATGTGTGGCGTGTTATAAGTGCTCCATAAATGTTAGGTGTTGTTTTATTACCTCGCGGGGTTGTCATAAGAATTACTTAGATTAAACATGAGTAACTAGAATAATGTGTGGGACTTGTATGTGCTCAAGGGGAACCAGATTTTGGTGTCAACTAGCAATCTCTACCGCATTTCCTATAATGCTCCTGAGCCTATCCAACAGGTACAGAGCTTTCCCATGGCCAAAGACATACTCCACCATTCCCCTTGGCTGCCTGGGTCCTCCTTCCTTCAAAGGGTGGAGCTAATCACCCTTTCCTGCAATGTGAGCCAGACTCCATGTCTTGCTTCCAATCGATAGAACATGGTAGAAGTAATGGTGTGTGGCTTTGGAGGCTAGGTTGCAAAAGACGTGGCCCCTTTGTCTGGCTTTCTCTTGAAATGTTCACTCTGGAAGAAACCAGCTGGTATACCTTCTGGACCTTTGAGAAGCCTGTAAGAGCAGGGATTTGAGGCTTTCTGCCAAGGGCCAGTACCAGCTTGTGAGGGGGCCACAGTGGAGGAATTTTCTCCTGCCCCGGTCTTGCCTTCGGATGACTACAGCCCAGACTGATATCATGAGACTCTGAGCCAGCATGGTATACAAGCTCAGCCACTTCCTAATTCCTGACCCACAGTAACTGTGAGATAACAAACGCTTATCGTTATTTGTAGGCACTGTGTTCAGATTTTTTTTTGTTACAGTGATAGGGGGCTATTACACTGCCAACCATGGTGGTGTGATAGAACTTCTCTGAGCCAGTCCCAGACTTGAGGGACAAGTTGTCTCAGCTCTCAGATCCCTAAGCTTAAATCGGGCTTTGAGCCAGAAATTCAAGCTGCTCACAAATATTTCAACTCTCAGTCCTTCTGGGTGCATGAGGGGTCGCTCTTCCTTATGCTCATGAAGTGTGGTATGGCCAGGAGACTCAATTTGGCCAACAAGCAGGTGTCATCTGTGGGTGGAAACTTTTAAGAATGAATGTGGGTTTTCTTCTTTTTTTCCCCTCTGCCAGAGTCTTGACCAGCCAGCCATAATGACATGAGTGAAAAATAAGTTTGCTGTTTTAAGCCACTGAGATTTTGAGACTGCCTGTTACAGCAGCATAATCCAGCCCGCCCTGACTAATACAGGCATCTTTCATGTCCTTTCACCCCTGCCACACTCAGAAGCCCCCATGTTCACCTCCAGATCTATTGTTTCCCCTAGTCCTCGAAGCTCTTTCCCTTCCCCAGCTCCAAAGGCCCCCCTCCCTTTCTTTCTTTTTTTTTTTTACTTTTTAAACTTTTATGTATGTATTTATTTATTTACTTATTTGGGGGGAGAGGGACAGAAGGAAAAATGGTCTTAAGCAGACTCTGAACTGAACGTGGAGCTCAAAGCAGGACTCGATCTCACAACCCTGAGATCACGACCTGAGCTGAAACCAAGAATCAGAGGCTTAACCAACTGCACCACCCAGGCACCCCTCCCTTCCATTTTTAATAACCTCAGGTGCAAAGATTAAGTAAATCATAATCTTCATTTCATAAAGCTTATAAAAATAGCCAGCACTTAGATAGCGTTTGCTATGTACTGCTCTAAACACTATCTATCTTATTTAATCCTTGGAATAACCCCATAATGTAGGGACACTTATCATTTCATTTTATGGATGAGGCAGCTATGGCACCCTGAGTTACCTAATTTGCCTGAGGCCACCCAGTGATTAAGTGAAAGAGCTTAATTATTAATTAATTCAAGCACAGGCAGTCTGACCCCAGCAGTACGCTTAACCACCTGGTTCACACAAAGCAGGTGTTAGTTTGATTTATTTCCTATTTAGTCACTCCACATTGCTTCCTTGCTAGAGCTGCCACTGTCGTGTTTATTGTATCCTTTTGTTCGTAGGTGTTCTTTCGCATTGTGTATTTTTGGTTGGGATGGATGGATCTTAAAGTTATATCAGCAGCACTGAGTGGGAGGTCTGGCTCTGTTTCTTACTATTGTCACTCCAACCCAGCCTTCTTGGTGCAGGCACGTCTGTTGCTTCCGGTGGCTGCAGAATCCTCTGCCCTGGACACTCTGGGGCACCTCCTCCTCCCTGGTGAGGGACACCAGGTTGCCTTTGACACACCTGCCATGAACAACATTGTGATGAACACTTTACCCCCTAGTGGTGAGTGTGAGAATTTCTTCAGCCTCCACCTCAAAAAAAAGTGGAATTGCCAGACTCTGAAATCTGGAAATGCTTGATTTAACTAAGTTTTACCAAATTGCACTTGAACGTGGGGGTATTACCAGAGAAACAAAACCGGTTCTGCTTCCTGATTCTTCCTGCCTTGCACCTGGACCTGAGGATTTGGTGCTTAAAAGCTGGGGAATTTACAGTTTTTGTTCTCCTACCTTTGTTTTCCAACCCCTTCTGAAAACTTTTTTGGGCAAACAGTCCCTTGACTCACTGGCTGCATGGGGCGTAGTAATGGAGGAAGAGGGAAGACCATCAAGTTCATAGCTCAATTCTTATCTCAAATGGCTCCCTGGCATTAGCTAGGATTATAGGTGGCTAATTCTGGGTGGGCGAGGGCCACAGGAAGTCAAAGGTGAGACTCAGGTGGGAGTGAGGGGAGACTTTCATCCGGGTGTGAGCGCCTCTTTGTGGTCAATTTGCTCATTACACTTTACGTGATTCCCCGCATCAACCCCCGGCTAATTTAACCACATCTAATCAATTCAAATGGTATGTATTGCGCATCACCTATGTACTAGACCAGCGACGTCCAACTGAAATATAATGTGAGCCCCACATGTAATTTCAAAATTTCTGCTAGCCATGTTAAGAAAGTAAAAAGAAGGGGCGCCTGGGTCACTCAGTTGGTTGAGCGTCTGCCTTGGGCTCAGGTCATGACCCCAGGGTCCTGGGATCCAGCCCACGGTGGGGCTCCCTGCTCAACGGGAGTCTGCTTCTCCCTCCCAGGTTGAATGAATGAATGAATGAATGATCCAGAGGTACAAGGCAGGGACCTGTGTTTTTCTAGACTCTCTCCCTAGCTTCTAGAACCATGCCTGACGCCCTAGTAGGTATTCAGCAAACACGTGCCTTGGCGCAGTGTTCCCCCTTCCCCCACCACCTCCCTAACACTGCCCTTAGCTGGGGGGTGGGGCTGGACAGCTTTCCTCTGTGACGTCACAAAGACCCTGCCATGCCTCTGGCCTCGGCCCTCCTGCTGCTGTTGGGCCTGAGCGCCCACGGAGGCTGGGGCTGCCTGCAGTGTGACCGCTCAGTGCAGGAGGCCCTGAGACAGCTGCACTCCGCCCTCATCCCCAATCGCTTCCATTTCCAGCAGCTGCTGGAGCGTGCCCAGGCCGTGATCCTGGGCATGGAGGGGCCTTTCTTCCGGGACTACGCTCTGAACGCGTTTGTGGGGAAAGTGGGTGCGTGCTGGAGAGGGCAGGGTTCCTGGCACTGCGGGAGGTTGGTGGGGAGGGGGAGAGACCCGTGGGGTAGCCCGAGGCTGGGGTGGGAGGCAGACGCTTTGGGGTCTGCCTTTCTAAGAGGGGAGGGTGGAACCATTCCTGGATGAAGATGGGGGTGTCCCCTGGCTCTCCGAGGGACCCACTGGAATTTCCTCCCATCTTGCCCCCAGGGATAGATCACCTGGATCATGTGACGGCCTTTATCAAGAACCAGACAAGCCACTTAATGGTTAATTCTCTAAGAGGTAGGAGCTAAGAGGGAAAACCTTTTCCCAACCCCCTTCTCTGTCCTCCCTTTCCAGGAGTCCACCACACGTTCCCTTGATATTAAAAACAAAACAAGCAAAACAAAACACACGAGTATAGCCTTTAGTGTGTGTCTGTCAGGGTTCTAAGTGTTTTACTCAAAAAAGTCGAGGGACAGTTCATCACTGTGGGCGCTACTGTGATCTGCCCTTTACAGAGCGGGAGACTGAGGTTCAGAGAAGTTAGGTAACCTGTCCCAAGTACACGGCGCAGACTAATTCCTAACCACCACCGCTGGCGTGTCTCTTCTGGTTTTGTATTCAGTGGCCCCGGTGGGGTTAGTCATTTAAGGGCCTTATAACATTCCCCAGTAGAGGGCAGTAGAGGGCCCCATGGATGTTTGACTTTTTTTTTTTTTAAGATTTTATTTATTTATTTGACAGAGATTACAAGTAGGCAGAGAGGCAGGCAGAGAGAGAGAAGGTGAAGCAGGCTCCCCGCTGAGCAGACAGCCCGACGCGGGGCTTGATCCCAGGACCCCGGGATCATGACCGGAGCCGAAGGCAGAGGCTTTAACCTACTGAGCCACCTAGATGCCCCGATGTTTGACTTATTTGTGCCTCAGTTTCCTCATCTATAAAACAGAAATAATAGCACTTACCTCATGGTCACTGAGAAGGGTAAATGAGTTTGTGCATGTGCATTTAGAACAAAGCCAGGCAAACAGTAAGTGCCCAATAAATGTTAGCTATTAAGATCATTATGCTACATCTAGCCTCCCTGCCTTGAACAGAGGTTGGCAAAATACAGCTGGGGGCCAAAGCTTTTTGCCAGCCCCCTGTTTTATAAATAAAGTTTTATTAGAACAATAATAATTTACATATTGTCTTCCACCACTTTTGCTCTCCAAGGCAGAACTGAATAGTTGTGACACTGACCATTTAGACCTCAAAGCTGAACATATTTACTATCTGAACCTTAACACACAAGGTTTAGAGCAGCAGGTCTCAACTCAGGCTGCACATTCGAATCCCCTAGAGAGCTTTTAAGACATTCCACAAGCCTGGGCAGTGGCCAAGAAAATTAGAATATCAGGTGTGGGGCCCGAGTATCAGTAATTTTAAAGCTCTAATTGAAAGCAGTAGCTAAAGCTCTCACCTTTTAAAAAGGTGATCTTTGTATTTTGAGAAAATTCCAGTAGTTATAAAAGTTGCAAGAATAGTACCGTGAACACCTATACACCATTTGTTCACCTTAACACATTGCCTCGTTCGTTCCGTGTGTGTACCTTTTAAAAGTTAGTGACACTTCAACATTAATTTCTTCAATGGAGGATCTCCTGAGAACAAGGAAGGGTATTTTCTGGCACTATGAGTGGACCTAGGAAATTTAATGCCAGCTCCATACTATCCGATATCCAGTCCTCAAATTTCTCCAATGGTCACAGTCGTGGCTTTCATCACTACCTTTCTTCCAATCCTTGATCTGCTCTGGGATCACGCACTGCATTTCTCTTTATGACACTGACATTTTTGAAGACCCCTGGACAGCCATTTAACCAACTATTATTGTATCATTTGGGGCTCGGTCATGTTGGTGCGGAGAACTCAAGTGGCTGACGTAGCTGCTTGGTCTCCAGCTTCTCCGGAGGTCAAGCCGCTACCATGTGACACTCTTTTTGGTAGGCTCCATGCCCAATGTGGGGCTTGAACTCACGACCCTGGGACTGGGTTGCATGCTGTACTAAGGAGCCAGTCAGGCATCCCCAGAAAGACATCCTTCCCAGGCAGGATAGTCCAAGGACTTAGAGGAACCAGACCTTTTTTTTTTGGAATGTGCAGGGTTTGGACAAACCAGACCTGCCGAGTTAACCCTTTAACCCTTTACTGCATAACATAAATGAGAACAAATACTATGGAGAAAATACCGCAGGGGCCAGGGGATAGGGGGTGCTAGGAGTAGGGTGGGGGCCGCAGTATGAAGTCAAGCAGCCAAAGGGATGTCACCGACAAGTCGGCATGTGAGCAGACCTGAAGGACAGGGGGAAGCCTCAGGAAGCAGCTGAGGTAGAAGACTGCAGGCAGAAAGGACAGCTAGAACACATTTCTGAGATGGGCCTATGTTTGGCATATTCACAGAACCTCAAGGAAGCCAGGGAGGCTGGAGTGCAGAGAGGGAGAGTTGTGGAAGATGAGGTCCTAGAGGTAAGGGGGCAGGGATGGGCAAGTGGGCTAGAGCCTTCCAGGCCATGGTGAGGACTTTTGGCTTCTATTCTGGGTCACATGGGAGGGCTCTGAGCAGAAGAAGGGGGATATGGGTGAGCTTACTGTGGTTCTAAGAGCATACTTCTGGTTGCGGAGAAGAGATTTGAGCAGGACATGGGGGAGCCTGGCAGACCAGCAAGAAGCTGCCATGGTGGCCCAGGCAAGACATGATCGTGGCTGGAACAGGGTGGTAGCTGGGGAAGGGTTGAGAGGGAGATCATATTCCTGGATCTGTCTTGGATATATATTTTTATTAAAGATTTTATTTATTTATCTGAGTGAGAGCATGAGAGGTGGGCAGGGGCAAAGGGAGGAGAAGCAGACCCCCCGCTGAGTAGGGATCCCAATGCGGGGCTCGATCCCAGGACCCTGGGATCACAACCTGAGCCGAAGGCAGACGCTTAACCGACTGAGTCACCCAGGCGCCCTATCTTGGATATTGAACAGACAGGTTTTGTTCATATAACATGCATGTTGACAGACTGCATGCAGGGTGTGAGGAAAAAGGAGGCAGAGCACCAAGGACTGGGATGAACAATTAGAAGCAGGCACCTCCCATCTCCTAAGGTGGAGAAGACTCGAGGGTTGGGAGTAGGCTTGGAGGAATGTGTCAAGGTTCCGTTTTGGACTTACTGATTATAAGATGCCCATCAGACATCAGAGTGCAGTTCCTAAGTGGGTATTTGGCTCCGTGCATCTGGACTTCAGGGAGTGAGCGCTCAGGCAGTGAGCGGTCTAGGCTAGGGACATCGATGTGGGAGAAATTGGTGTACACAGAACAGTGCTGTCCGGTGGAGATACGATGTGAGGCACAAGTAGGAGTCACACGTAATTTTAAATTCTCTAGTAGCCGCGCGTTTAAAAAGGTAACAGAAACAGGTGAAATTAATTTTAATACATTTTATTTCGCCCAATACCTAAATGACCATTGCAACATGCAAGCAACATAAAAATTATTGAAGTTTTTTTTTTTCAGTTGTTTTATTCACACCATGTCTTCAAACTCCAACACACATTTTATACTAACAGCAGACCTCGATTCAGGCTAGCACATTTCAAGCACTCAATAGCCGTGTGGGCTAGTGCCTGCCACATTGGACAGTGCGGGTCTAGGTAATATACAAAACCATGAAGCTGGATGAGATCAGCTGGAGGAAGGAGTTAGTGTAGACAGGAGAGGAGAACAGGTCAGAGGAAAGGAAGGGAGAGGTAACCAAGTCTGTTCTACTACTTACCCGATCAGAAAACTGAGGCTAGAGGAAGGTGGATTGTCCTGGGGCCCCACAGTGGATCAGAAGCTAGATGCAAGACCGCCCAGGCCACAACTTAAGTAATACCCGGTCTTGGTGACTCTTGGTGAATGAAAAGGGGTTTCCTCGTCTCTTTGAAGCTGCAGGTGGGGTGGGCTTGCTGGGCACCTCCCACCCCACAAGGATATCTGTATCTCTCTCTCTCTCTCTCTCTCCTCAGATGGGCCTCTGCTGGAGGAGCTGGTGGCTGTCAGGGAGAGAGTGATCAAGGAACTCAAGAAAGGTTTAAAATCGTATGAACAGAAAGGTGCAGCATCTCTCTCCACCAAGCCCCTCCTCCCCTATTATCACTCAGTTCCCTTCTCCCACTTTGTCTCCCAGACTCCTTGCTACCTCCCCTGTGACTCAGTCTTCTCTGCCTCTCCCCAATATTCCCTGCTCTCGTTTCCAGACACACTTCTCCCTCCCCTGTCCCTTCCCATTAAATTCTCAAATTGCTTTCCCGACTTAACTGACTTCAGCTCTTTTCTCTTGCAGCCTGCCATCGCAAAATTTGCCGTGAGTCCTGGATTTATTTTCTGTTCCTCCCTTCTCTACCCTTCCGCACCTCTTTACCCTGTCTCCCCGCCCAAATCAAGCTCCACTATCATCTACTCCATCTGGTGGCTCCTCCTCCCCAAAGCTATAATATCTAGGGATATCTGATTTTTGAGGGTTCATGGAAGTGGTTGCAACCTGCAAAAAAGCATTTTGGGGCATGTCAGGATGGACAGGCCAGGTCATAGAGCAAATAAACACCACGTCCCAGTGGTTTAACAAAGGAAAGATTTCTCTCTTACTCAAATTCCTTTTGAGAGTTGAACTTTTCTTCCAAGTGGTAGCCCGGGGAAATAGCCCAGACCTGTGTTGTGGCTTCCAAGCTAGCTTTAGAAGGAAGAGAGAATACGGAGAACTCCCGACAGGAACTTGTTTGTCCTGGTTGAGAACTGGCCGCATCCGTCTGCCCACTTTCCATTGGCCAGAACTCTGGTCACATGGTTGCAACCTACTGCAAAGGAGCCTGGGAACTGGAGAGAGAGAGTCAGGAAAAAGAGGAGACAGATTCGTGAGCATCTACCCACTCTCTGTCACAGGGGCCTGCAAAACGGGAATGTAGAAATGCAAGCATTCTGTTTGTGGGCATTTAATCTACAGATATCTACAAATTAAATGATCTGTAGACATTCAATCGACAAATCTAACATTTGTTTAACTAATTAGATGTCTGCAAGCAAATGTTGGACAACAGGACAACTGCAACTCAATTCAACTTTTCAATGATTCTATAACAATTTTTCTTTCATTTTTAAGCTTTTAATTGTAAGTCATCTCTATACCCAACTTGGGGCTCCAACTTACAACCTTGAGATCAAGAGTCACATGCTCCACCGACTGAGCCAAGCAGGCGCCCCTAAAAGTTATTTTTAATGTGAATCAGGGCACTTTTCTCATCTTCCTGTGCTGTGCATGGGACCTCCAAATTCAGGAGGGCCAAAGACTCCCATCTCTTTCCCCCCTGCTTTCCTGCCCCTTGCCAGTCCTCTGATATCTGCCCTTATCTCACTTCTCCCTTCCCTCCTTTTCAGGCTTGCTAAGAGAAGAAGTCTTAGACTGTTTACATTGCCAGAAGATCAGTCCCAGGTGCATTAAAAAAAAGTACTGTTTTGGTAAGTTCCTGCAGGTGAGGGAAGACAGGGGTGCATGAGAGATGAAGACAGCCATGACCCAGCAGATACGGCTTTTGAGACCTCCCACATATGACCTTGAATCCTGCACTTACCACTTGCTTACAGTGTGACCCAGATGTTGCTTCCACATTCTGAAATTCACTTTCTGCCTACTGTTAACTGGGAAGATTCTGCTGTAACTTTAAAATGCCTCTAATACCAGAATGGCAGGTGCTAGGAAAGCATTTTCTTTTTTCACCAGTGCCACACCTGGGGAGTCCAGAAGAATCTGCTGAATTTGTTCACTTACTCACTCATTCATTCATTCAGAGATTTTTTTTTAAGATTTTTAAATTTTTAAATGATTGCTACCCCCAGCCTGGGGCTCGAACCTACAACCCTGAGATCAAGAGTTGCATGCTCCACTGACTAAGCCAGCCAGGTGCCCCCAGAGATTTTTTAAATGTAAATCCTCATAGCAGTGAGAATAGTACAGTGAACCCCCATATATCCGTCAAGATTGAAAAATCATGCTGTTCCCTCTCTGTCACACTGTTCCTATCACTCCTTTATTTCAGAAAAGTCTTCAAGTTCACCTCCTCAAAGGCTCCCTGATCACACTCACTAAAGTAGCACTTTCTATCAAATTATGTTGACAGTGGACATGCCCCCACATTTGGTTTACTTATTTATTGCCATGGTATTTTTTTTAAAGTTATCTCTATACACAAACTCACCGCTGCAAGATCAAGAGTCACATTCTCTGCCCACTGAGGCAGCCAGGCACCCCATTCGCATGGTATTATTTTTTAAGATTTTATTTATTTAATTAGGGATGCCTGGGTGGTTCAGTGTGTTAAACCTCTGCCTTTGGCTCAGGTCATGATCTCAGGGTCCTGGGATCGAACCCCGCAGTGAGCCCAGCATTGGGGCTTCCCCCTCTCTCTCTGCCTGCCTCTCTGCCTACTTGTGATCTCTCTCTCTGTCAAATAAATACATGAAATCTAAAAAAAAAAAAACCAGTTTAAAAAGATTTTATTAATTTATTTGACAGAGATCACAAGTAGGCAGAGAGGCAGGCGGGGGGGGGGAGGAAGCAGGCTCCCCATGGAGCAGAGAGCCCAATAGGGGGCTCAATCCCAGGATCCTGGGACCACGACCCAAGCGAAAGGCAGAGGCTTTAACCCACTGAGCCACCCAGGCGCCCCTGCCATGGTATTTTAAAAGAAATCAAGCATTGTGAGATTTCACCCATACATAGTGTGTACCTCTAAAAATAAGGACATTTCCTATGTAACCACACTGCCATTCTCACACCCAAAAAACCTAGCAACAATTCTTCAATATCAAGTAATTCTAAGTCCTTTTGCAACTTCCCTAATTGTCCGTGGAATATCTTTCGCAGCTGATTCATTCAAACCAGGACCCAATTATAGGACTTCTCATATAATTCAACTATAGGTTTTTTCCCCACCTTTTTTCATCTAGAAGAGTCTCTCATTAGTTCCTCCCTCCCCCTTCATGACACTTACTAGCTGCAAAGAAGGAATTTGTCCAATGGCTCCTTTAGGACGGTGGTTAACTACAATAGATATTTTGAGGACCCCATTATGCTCCCAAACTGAGGATCAGCAGAATGGAAGACAAATGTCTCATATTGCCTGCATTTTAATGGGGTGAAGGGTTAACTAGGGTTTCTCTTAGCGCTACTGACAGCTGCGGCTGGACAGTCCATGTTATAAGGGCTGTCCTGTGTATTGCAGGATGGTTCGGTAGCACCCCTAGCCTCTACCCCACTAAATGCCAGTAGTACTCCCCTCACCAAAGTCAGGACAATCATTTCTAGTCTCCAGACCTTTCCAAATATCCCGTGGGAGACATAATTGTCTTCAGCTGAGAACCGCTGGACAATTACATGAAGGAATTACATGAAGGAATAAATTACATGAAGGAATAAGTGGACTGATTCTAGATAGCAAGTGTGTTCTAATGAAAACAAAACGGGAAAGTTTGATAGAAAGTGCCTGGGAGAAAGGGAGGGACGGTGCTACTTTAGAGAGTGCAGGCAGCGGGACATCTCTAAAGAAATGGTGTTTGGGATCTAGAGGGACTGAGCAAGTAAGGAACAGTGTAAATGACAGAGGGAACAGCTAGTGCAAGGATCCAACATGGTTGAGCAACAAGAGGGAGGCCAGTGTGACCAGAGCCAAATGAATGAAGAAGGGCATAGTAGCTAGCAACTCACGTGGTGACCAGATTGTGCAAAGCCTGGTGGGCCGTGATGAGGATTTAGGCCTTTATTTTGAGTGAGAGGCCGGCTTAGGGGAGGCTCTGCGGGAAGAGGCACTGGAGAGAGCTTAGGTGGTGACAGGCGCCCTCTGGCGGTCAGATGGGGAACTGTAGGGCAAGGAGACACACGACCCCCCCCCCCCCCTCCCCAGAGAGATCTGATAGGGGGCTGGACCAGGTCAGTAGCCCACGAGATGTATCCAGGAGGTGGATCAGACTCTGGATACATTCTGAAGGTGGATCCAAGAGGCTCTGCTGACAGAATAAAAGAGTCGGGGGGAGAGGACGACTTGAAGATGCCGAATGGGACTCTCAAGGATCTTCAGGATCCCCAGCTAAGATGCATGTTGACTTTCATCTTGTCTTGAGACTGTCAGAATATTGCATCTGATGTTCACCGGCAGTCGAAGGATCCACGTCTCCCCCGCCCCACCCCCTAGCCAACGAGTCGTATTTAGCGCTGAGCTCTTCGCTGGCACTGGGATGTGCTGTGTAGACTGCCGGTGCCGCGACGGCAGAGTTGTTTGCCAGTGGGGCTCGTAGAAGTATGCAGCGCACCTAAAACAGTGCCTGGGACACAGAGTTTGAGGAATGGAGGAATGCAGTCAGACTCCAGGAGAGAGGGCAGCAGACCGGTAGGGAGGAGGGAGAGAGAGGCTGAGGTTGCTGGGTGAGCAGGTGGGAGTGGGTGCAAAGCCAAGGAGAGGAGGTGACTTGGAAGTCAGGTTTGTCTCCCCCACCCCACCAGTTGACGCGCAGCCCCGAGTGGCTCTGCAGTACCAGAAGGAGGAGGAGAGCCTGCAGGATAGAGGTGCCATCATTTCCATTTTTCTCGCTCTTCTTTCCTTCGGGGTCATCGTGGCTGCGTGAGTCATCTCTGCCCTCTCCTGAGGCTTCCAAATGCCCCACTGGGCCCCACAAAAATGTCCCTGCCCTGTATTGGTCCCTGTGTCATTTGGGAATCTCCCCCTCACTCACTCTGTCTGTGTCTCTCCTCCTCTCTCTCCATCTCTTCTCCTACCCACCCTCTATCTCTCTGTCCATCTCTCCTTCTCTCACACCTCCTCTTCCTCTCACCCCTGGACCACCTTTTATCTTTCCTGGGTCCTCAGCACTTTTGCCTCTCTGGATCTCTTCCTCCATAAAATGTAAATATAATTATAAATACAAATATAAATATAAAGATATATATATAATTGTATTTCATGCATGTGCCATGGTATGAAGACAGATGTCATCAGAGCTGAATTCATTATTATATATTCTTCTTCACCATCATCGTTATATTAATTTATTCTGTTCTGCTTTTCAAAGTGGTTAAAATGAAAATATTTCCATGGGTCCCAAGCACTGAACCCAGGGCGCAAGGGGGAAAGTGGACCTCACCCTCCTCTTTGCCCTTCTGAGGGACTCTCCCACTTCTTCCTACCTGTTCCCCCTCCAGCTCCTCTCCTCTCCTCTCTCTTTCCCCTTTTCTGTCCTCCCTGCTTCCTCCACCTGCCCCTCACCCTCCTTTCCCACTGCCTAGTGGTGAGTCAAATCAGGACTCAGCACAATGAATGTCTGCTCCCACTGTGAGCTTGTTCGGTCTGTGTCCCCTTCTCTCTCCCTCTCTCTGCCTCTCCCACTGGGCTTTCTCCTCTCCTCCCCCTCCCTGTCTCAATCCTGCTGTCCCCCCCACCCCCCACCTCCCAAGTTGAATCCCTCCCACCTCCCCTCTCTTTCTCCAGTACCTTCCCCACTGCTCTTTCCCACTCCCCCATGTTCAAACCCCTTCACCACCACCCCAGTCTTTTTTTTCTGTCTTGAATCTTGTTTCTCTCTCCCTAAGCCTCTTGCCCAAGGTCTGTCTCACTCCTTGGTCTCTTTGGCATCCTTGGCATTCCTTGGCTCATGGCTTCCCTCCAATCTCTGCCCACCCACCTCCCATCTTCAGATGGATTTTTCCTCTGCGACACCTCCTCCTATGAGGACGCCCGGCTTTGAATGTAGGGTCCATCCTAAATCCCAAATGATCTTAATTACATCCACCAAGACCCAATTTCCAAACAAGGTCACATTTGCAGGTCCTGGGGATTAGGACTTGGATATACGAGGGGGTGGGGGTGGGGGGGTGTGGATGGACGCAATTCAATTCAGCATACTTGCTTCTCTCTCTTCCTCATTTCCTTCTCTTTCTTTCTCTTCTCCATGAGTCTCTTGCCCTATGTCTATGTCTTTCAGAGTCTCCTTCAGTCTTTCCCATTCTTACTGTTTTCACATTTTACCCTCACTCCCAGTCCCAGATTTTCTCTCCTCCTCATTCATGTACCAACACTGAATGGCTGGGAACCCTGGAAATCTGCCCAGATACCCATGATGTCACAGGCCGGAATAAATAAGGCTGATGATTGGAGGGTGGCATGGAGGGACCTGGAGGGACCTGAAGTTCTCTTTGTAACCTCCAGGCTTTTTCTCTCTGACCAGGGCTATCACGTACAGGCAAAACCGAAAACTCCTGCTGCAGTAGGGCGGTGGTTTGGGGTCTGTAAGGGGAAAGGAAAAGAAGTTTAATAAAGTCTATGACAAATTCCTTGATGTCTCTGTCAGTTTCTGGAGGGCCCTCCTCCCAGTTGGGTGTCAAGGGTTGGGACCAGGTCTCACTCGTCCATAGGTACCAGTGACCCTACATCAAAGTAGAAGAGATTTGGATCTTCAAGAGGAATAGACAACCTACAATGAGAGCTTGAAAGGACAGCCATTCCTGCTTTGAGGAGGAACGCATCCTAAAGGAGATGACACCATAGTGGGACCCTCAAGGATGGTGTGACAGAAGAACAGCAGTAGTTAATGCAGAGAATACAGGTTCCCCTCCCTATCTGAACTGAATTTTCACCCTGCTGTGTTCCTGAATAGATTCAGATACATTGTCATGTAAATCGTTTGCTGTCTGAACTCTTGCTACCTGCTAACCCAAAGTAGGAAGCAAATAAATTTGGATGACTGGTATCCTTGTGTTTCTGAACTTGCTAGCAAAACTATTGCTATCTCATTCAGGATCTGGATAATGAAGATGTTTGGTGGGAAGAATGTGCATTGATAAGAAAAACAAAATTTACTGCAGATTCGGTGCCCTGCACAAGGCTTGACCCAGAGCGGGCAGGCACTCAGTAAATATTTGTTGAATAAATGAGGATGGTGGTGTTGGGGGAAGGAGAGGAAGCCTGCAAAAAAGATACTGATCCATACACTGAGGTCCTTTAAACGTCAGGGAAAGGAGCTCGGTGGTTTTTCCCAGGGATTGAAACCCCAAATACTGATGGGTCCAGGAAGATAAAGTGAACTGCAGGCCGCATCCGTGGAGGATAGAAAGTACGCAGCTCCATTCTATTGCAGTCATGGTGAAATAACATCCCAGTGTTTTCAGATCTTCAGAGTTTTCAAGAGTCCCCAGAAATTCATATTTTTAAAAAATATCATTGCTATCATTGTGAGGTGACAGGAGAAACCTCCGAGGCTGAGTGTTGCTCATATTTTTTATGCTAGAGATTATTGGTAAGTGAAGCTTTAAGTGTAGCTAGAGCTCGCTGGACTCTCTAACTACATTTCCTAGAATCCTCTCTGCCTACAACTTGCGTTCGTTGCCATAGATACTACCGAGAGCCCCTTTAAAGGTAGGGGTGTATGCACTTGAAGAGTTCCACTCCAGCCATCTGTTGCCAAGATACCAATCTGGCTTATGCGCAGTAAGGAGCGCTTAGACTAGGGCGGTTCGGGAAAGAAGGAGCAGAGGCTCCAACCCAGAGGATTCTGGAAATGGTAGTTTCCAGGATGCCCCACATCCCCCTCCCACGCAGGCGCCCTTCTGTGGAGGCAACGGGATGCTGTCGCCCTGGTGACGTCACTCCTGGCGCGCATGACGTCACCCTCACTAAGCACGCTAGCTGGGAGGCAAGGCTACACCAGGCAAGTCAAAGCAGCCCGACTTCAAGTTCACTTCTTTTTTTTTTTTTACCTTTTTTTAAAAAATATTTTATTTATTTATTTGACAGAGAGAGAGATAGCCACAGAGGGAATACAAGCAGGGGGAGTGGGAGAGGGGAAAGCAGACTTCCTGAGAGGCGTGGAGCCCGATGGAGGGCTCCATTCCAGGATCCTGGGATCATGACCCCAGCGGAAGGCGGAGACGCCCAACGACTGTGCCACCCAGGCGCCCCTTCACGCTCACTTTTTTTTTTTTTTTTTGAGACACAGAGAGAGAGGGAGAGATCACAAGTAGGCAGAGAGACAGGCAGAGAGAGAGGGGTAAGCAGGCTCTCCGCCAAGCAGAGAGCCCGACGCAGGACTCAATCCCAGGACCCCGAGATCATGACCCAAGCGGAAGTCAGAGGCCCAACCCACTGAGCCACCCAGGTGCCCACGCTCACTTCTTTTTTTTTTTTAAGATTTTATTTATTTATTTGACAGAGAGAGATTACAAGTAGACAGAGAGGCAGGCAGAGAGAGAGAGGGGAAGCAGGCTCGCCGCTGAGCAGAGAGCCCGATGGGGGACTCGATCCCAGGACCCTGAGATCATGACCTGAGCCGAAGGCAGCGGTTTAACCCACTGAGCCACCCAGGCACCCCCACGCTCACTTCTTAAAGCTGATCCAAACCCATTCTGGTGAAGGCCTGGGGGTCGTTAGCTGGTGGCCCTAAAGTGCTTTTAGCTTGGGTAATAGTGTTGTTTGGTTTTTAAAATGTCTTCCTGCTACAAGTCCAGCTACTCCCTTAACTTTCTGTGAATCTCCTGGGGAGCAGTGCACAATAAACGGATAATTAAGTTGTGCAGAAATTGTAGTGTGATGAATGCTCCCAGAGAGCACAATCTGGGGCAGGAGAGACAGTTACCAAATAATTATAATACAATTATAATATCAGCGTTAGGTTCGGGTGGAACCCCGGAAGGGAGAGGAGTTGCTCCGGCTGGGCTGGGTTGGTGTAGGGCAAAGTTTCCTATAGGAATGGCTGTAAGCGCTAGTGGCAAGAAATGGAGTTTTCCAAGAGCAATAGAGGAAAAGAATGTTCTGGACAGAGGGAAAAGCAGGTAGGAAGGTCAAGAGGGGGGGAAGTATTAATAACTTTTAAAAACAGTATTTAATGTCAATAATATTGATAGCAAACAGAAGGTGGTTTCTGTACCATACTGTTTTAATGGCTTTAGTCATATCAACCTAGTCAAATGTCATTTATTTATTAGTGTATCTATTATCTCTCCATGTACAATGAGGATATGGAGGTATAGAGAGGTTAATGACTTTCAGTGAATAAGTAGGAGTAATCATTATTCTGTGTGGCCCTTGCTAATGGGTTCTACTTGCAAAGCACTGTGCCATTTGTCTTCTATAGAACATCAAATCCTATTGGAGCAGGATCCTACCCTTTTGAGCTCATTTAACTTTAATTACGTCTCCAAATACCCTATCTCCAAATAAAGTCTCTTTGAGGGTTAGGGCTTCAACATATCAATTTTGGGGAAATCAGACATTCAATCCATAGCACTTTTCCACACCCACACTTGCATGCCAGACTCAAAAAGCTACTTATGTATCTCTCTCCCACTCTAGGCTTCCATACACTCTGTGCCCTCTGCCTCCAACAGCCCATCTCATTCTGTGCCTTCACTCCTCATTTATGTCTCTTAGTCTGTTGGTTCTTATCTTCCAACCTACAGCCAAGGGGAGACCTCCTCCGAAAGTCATCCCTGATTGCCCAGAGCGGGTTAGAGGTCCTCCTCCGTGCTCATACGATGCCCTGGGCTACCCCCATCAAGCACACATATCACACTAGGGCCAACTGCCTGTAACCATGCCCTTATCATGTACCCTAATCCTAGCAATAGTGATTGGCCCAAGAGGTGGGCCCAAGACCCTAGAAGGACCAATCAGAACCCCTCCCTGGGACTGCTATATGAACTTAGTTGCAGCCATGCTATTGGCTTCAGCCAATGAGATGTGGAGGAAAGTGACATATGTCACTGATCTCATTTAACTTGCATGATCACCCAGTGAGGAAGGCATTGCTCCCCCATTTTAGAGAGAAGGACACCTAGAAGGAGGATTTAAGTAACCCATACAAGACCCACAGTTGGTCAAGGACAATAGCAGGACTAATGTCCTTATAAAAAAAGAGGAGAGACACCAGAGTTCTCTCTCCACATGATCCTGTACCAAGGAAAAACCATGTGATGATGTATCAAGAAGGTGGCCATCTCCAAGCAAGGAAGAGAGTTCTCACCAGAAATCAACATGCTGGCTCTGGGATCTAGGAGTTCCAGGCTGCAGAACTGTGAGAAAAGTAAGTTTCTGTTCTTTAAGTCATTCAGTTTATGGTATTTTGTTATGGCCACCCGAGCTGATTAAGATAGAGTGTCATGGGGGCGCCTGGGTGGCTCAGTCGTTAAGCAGCTACCTTGGCTCAGGTCATGATCCTAGAGTCCTGGGATCGAGCCCCACATCAGGCTCCCTATGCAGCGGGAAGCCTGCTTCTCCCTTTCCCACTGCTCTTGCTTGTGTTCCCCCTCTTGCTGTCTCTCGCTGTCTCTCTCTCTCTCTCTCTGTCAAATAAATAAATAAAATCTTTAAAAAAAATTTTTTTAAAGAGCATCATGAAGTGAAGGCCATCTTCAGGCTCACTGGGCTTCAGGTACCAGGCTAAGGCCTGGACACTTTGCTGAGGGCAGTGCCAAGCCAGAGGAAGGACTGGATCTGCTCTGGGTGCAAAAAGACCATTCTGGGGTGGGGGGGTGCTCCTGGGTGGTGCAGTAGGATAAGCATCTGACTCTTGATTTGGGCTCAGGTTGTGATCCCATGGGTTGTGAGATCAAGCCCTATGTCAGACTCTGAGCTCAGCACAGAATCTGCTTGGAATTTTTTCTCCCTGTCCCTCTGCCCCTCCCCAAACTTGTGCATGCTCACTCTCTCTCTCTCTCTCTCTCTCTCCCTTAAATAAATAAATAAATAAATATTTAAAAAGAAAGGTCGGAGGGGGACAGACTAGAGGGGAGACACTAGGGGCCAGGAAGTTTGAGATGAGATTGCAGTGAGGTTGTAGGCTGAGGACAAGATTTGAGCCATGGCCAAGGTCATGGGCATGGAGAGGGCAGCAGAACTGGGGAGTCTGACAGTGAGAAGAGGGGCTTCCCTGAACCCACTGTCGCTGGCTGGATCGTTGAGCTTTGGGGTTGCAAAGGTCTCCCTAGGGCTGTTGGACACATCTTCCCAGGGTAGCTGTATGAGTTAATTAAGCTAATAAAGCCCGCTGCATTTTGTCATTAAGTGACAGCTGGTCTTTTTCAGTTTGACAGTGGTTCATCTAGGTTTTACTCATGTGTATACATAGATTTTACATCTTTATAAACATGAAAGGTACATAACTTTGTGATTTTTCTTCTTTTAATGTTCATTCGCAACTATTTCCCCATGTTATTGTGTCCTGATCATAATTACTTCAGGCTTGATAATGTTTCATAGGCTGGATATACCATTGTTTATTTAATCAATCCCCTGAGTTCATATAACTGAAAATAACTTTTTGTTATTTGGTTTCTGATTGGGGTTGCCCCCCACCCCAGTGACAATTCAGGGAGTTAGGCTCCTTCCATTTTCAGTATAGGACTTCCAGGGTCATAGTCTTCATCTACAGCCACAGAAGGGAAAAAACTGTGGGAGGTGACAAGTGAGAAGTTTCAATGGGCCAGGTCTGGGTATGGCATGCATGTTCACTTCTCTCATTTCATTGGCTAGAACTTAGTAATATGACCACCCCAGATTATAAGGGAGGCTGGAAAATGTAGTCTAGTTGTGTGCAGAGAAAGTAGGGGAAAGGCTTTGAAGAAGAGCTATCTGCCTCACATTACCCCAATGAGGGGTTACAGAGAAAACCTCGTAGACAGTGGAAGAGAACTGCCCCAGATCACAAAGAGATTACAATCTATAGGGCAAATATGGCACTAAAATCCAAATAGCCCCCTTTTTCATTATATTTTTCATCATTCTTCTTTGAAAAGCAAAAACCTATAGGATTTTATTAATCTTGTACCCAGTAATTTTATATAATTATCTTGTGGTTTATTTTAGTGTTTCTTTTGATTCTCTGATTTCCAAGATAAAAATCATATCACATTTAAAGAAGGATGAAAACCCAGATTTCTCCGTTCCAATGATAACTTTTCTTTCTCTTGTCTAACTGCATTGATAGTTCTTCCAAAAGTGGCCATGCTAGACAGTTTGTTTTGTTTGGACTGACAGTTTGTTCTGACTTTAATGGTGAATCTTTTGGTTTTTAGCATTAAGCCTGATTTGGGGTTTTAATGATATGCATATAATTAAAAACAAGGGAGAGGCAAGTAACTACTTAAGATTGTTGTCATTATTGAGGCACCTGGGTGGCTCAGTTGGTTAAGCATCTGCCTTTGGCTCAAGTCATGCTCTCAAGGTCCTGCGATGGGGCCTGGATTGGGCTCCCTGCTCAGTACGGGTTCTGCTTCTCCCTCTCCCTCTGCCCCCCCACCACCCTCCACTAGTCCTCCCTCTCTCAATAAATAAAATTATTGTCATTACTATTCAAGATGGGCCTATTTTTTTAAGATTTCATTTTATTTGTTTGACAGAGATCACAAGTAGGCATAGAGGCAGGCAGAGAGAGAGGGAGGGAGAAGCAGACTCCCTGATGAGCAGAGAGCCCGATGTGGGGCTTGATCCCTGGACCCTGGGATCATGACCTGAGCCAAAGGCAGAGGCTTTAACCCACTGAGCCACCCAGGCGCCCCAAGATGGGCCTATTCTTAAATATATTAAGTTTATGTAGACATGGCTTATTACTGGAGGTTCTCAAAACCCTTTTCATAGCCATGGATGTGATGGTATTACTTTGATATATCAATTAGCAAATTCTGTGAGAGCCCAATATCAAACCATCCTTGCATTCCTGGACATATATCTCCCAGCTCCCACTACAGGGGTCTGTTTCCCTTACCACACCACCCTTTAAGAGGTGGTGAAACTGAGGCAAACAGGAAGCGGATGCCCAGGGATAGCAAGTAATTAAGTGACAGAGGCTCAATTCATTCACCATCAGTTTAGATGGGGCCAACTTCTTTGTGTCCTGTGGACTTCAACTAAGGGGTAACTTTGTTAGATGGATTAAATGGGCTATGATGTCCCCTCCTGTGAAGGGCAGCGAAAAGACTGGCAAAAATGGGTGTATTCGCTGTGTCAGTACAGCCAGACATTTCTCAATACCAGGTTCCCTCCTGCCCCACATCGTTCTCCCAGACTCCATTTCCCAACATTCCCCCGCCTTAGAGAGGCCGGGAGGAGCGTGAGCCCGCTATGACTTCTGGAAAATGTAGTCCAGCTGCGAAGTCGCGTTTAAAGAACCCGGGCTTGATAGTACCGATACAACTACGGCGCAGGCGCATGCCGTGGCCCGCCAGAGGGAGGGAAGGCCTGGCCACCCTCCGCAACCCGCGGTGGCGCACAGGTGAGTCCCCACCTAGCTGCCGGGAGCTGGAGCGGGTGGGTGTGGGCCGAGCCGGACAGGCCGGTGAGTGCTCAGGGCGGCGGGCCCGAGTCCCGCCTGGGGGGCGCGCTGTGGGCGGTGTCCCGCCCCCTCCTATCTCTCGCGAGGCGGCCCCAGAGCTCCGCTGCCACCCCGAGGATCTCAGCGCGCAGGAATTGGGCGCCTGCTGTTTGCCAGGAGTCAGCGAGCGCGGAACTGTGCGGTCTCCCAGGAGGGAGACTGTGCGTTTCCATACTTCGCTGGTGAAGAAACAGACTACGCGGCTTCTCGAAGGTCCCAGTGGTCGGCCTGGGGTGTTTGACCTGAAAGCCCACCGCGTACTCTGCAAGTCACGCCGCCCTCCGTCTCTGTCCTTATCCTGAGCATGCCACCCTTTCTCTGGGTCCCTAATCGCTCTGTGTTCTCCCCCCACCATCCCAAACCCCGTTCAGTCCCTCTTTCTGTGTGTCTGCGCGCCCCTCTTCCGAGACTGTGTTTGTTTCTAAAAACAGGGCCATTATCTTCCAAGACCACAGCACCGTGATCACACAGCAGGACAGTAACATCCATAAAAACTATTAGCTAATCTGCAGACCCTCAAATTTTGCTAACTGTTCCAGTAATGTACTTAATGGCAAAAGCAAAGCCCACACCACACACTGTGTAAGTTGTTAGGGCCCTTTAGTCTCCGTGAACCAGACGCAGTTCCTCAGTCTTTCTTTGATTTTGATGATCTTGGCAATTCTGAAGATTACAGACCGGGTACTTCTAGAATGTCCCTTGGTCTGGATTTGTTCGGTGCTTCCTCATGATTAGACTTAGGTTTGGCGGGAATACCTAAATTCGGGGCGATGCTGTGTCCTCATCAGAGCAGGAGCCCCTCATGTTTGCCCATCACAGGTCATGTGTGTCTTAGTCACTTGGCTGCGGTGGTCCGCCAGGCGTCTCTGCTCTAAAGTTACCTTCTTTTTGTGATTATTAAGTAACTTTTGAGGACATGGCGGGAGTGTCTGTAAGACTTGGCTTTTCATTTCCTCATCAGGATTTCGCCCACTGGTTTCAGCCTTCAGCTGCTGGCGTTCCTCTGTAACTGGAAACAGGTGCGAGGCTGCGTCTTATTTCTCCACTGTTTTAGTTTCCTGTTGCTGCTGTAACAAGTGACCACAAACTTGGTGGCTTTAAACGGCACGAATGTGTTCTCTTACAGTTCGGGAGGTCAGAAGTCTGCAGTGGGTTTTACCGTGCTGAAATCAAGGTGTCAGCAGAGTGGTGCTCCCTTGTGGGCTCTAGCGGACAATCCGTTTCCTTGCCATATTCCCGCAGCTTCTAGAAGCTGCTTATTTCTTAGATGAGGCCTCTTCCTCCAGCTTCAAAGCCAGAGAGACAGTGTCTTCTCTCTCTGACTCTGCTCCTCTTTACTTCCCTCACTTGGCCTTCTCCTCCCGGTCAAATACCCCCCTGCCTCCCTCTTCTAAGGACACTTATGATTGCATTTAGGCCCCACCAGATAATCCAGGATAATCTTCCTATCTAGAGGCACTTAACTTAATCACATCACAGGTTTATCGCACAAGATACAAGAGTGGTGCCATTGCTCCGCCAACCATCTGGCCTATATCCAGGCCTGTCTCCCCCACCAGGTGGGGAGCCCCTTTAGGGCAGAGCCTCATCTCGCTCGTTATTCTGTCCTCAGATGAGCCTGTCACTCTCACATGAGTCTCAGAGCATATCTGATGAATGAACAGAAGTGACCATAGTCCAAACACCAATTCTTCTTTGGCAGAGTTTTTTTGTTTGGGGGGAGGTTTTTTTTGCAGGGACTTTTAAACTTTATTTCAACAGGTGGGACATTTCTTCAAACAACATCTTAAGAGAGATCAGGATCCTTATGCTGGATTTGTAAGGCAGATAGAAGGAGCTCTGTAGGGGCACCTGAGTGGCTCATTCAGACTCTTGATCTCAGCTCAGGTCTTGATCTCAGGGTCATGAGTTCAAGAACCGCATTGGACTCTACACCTTTTTTTTTTTTTTTCTTAAAGAAGGAGCTCTGCAAAACAGGGTAGATCCATGCCACAGAATACTATCCAGCCGTAAAAAGGAATGAAAACTTGGGCGCCTGGGTGGCTCAGTGGGTTAAGCCTCTGCCTTCGGCTCAGGTCATGATCTCGGAGTCCTGGGATCGAGCCCCGAATTGGGATCTCTGCTCGGTGGGGAGCCTGCTTTGCTCTCTCTCTCTGCCTGCCTCTCCTCCTACTTGTGATCTCTCTCTCTGTCAAATAAATAAATAAAATCTTAAAAAAAAAAAAAAAAAAGAAAGATGAGGGGTGCCTGGGTGGCGCAGTCAGTTAAGTGATTGGTTTCGGCTCAGGTGGTGATCTCAGAGTCATGGGATTGAGCTCCGAGTCAGGCTCTGCGCTCAGTGCAGAGTCTGCTTAGGACTCTGTCCCTCTCCCTCTACCCCTACCCCCACTGTAAAATAAATAAACAAATCTTTTTTAAAAAAGAAAGATGAATAGTTTTCAGGGGCTGGCATCGGAGGGCTGGGACAGAACAGGGAGATTTGGAAGTGACTGGTTAATGTTTCCTTTTAGGGCAATGGTGAAAATGTTCTGGAACCAGATTGTAGTGATGGTTGCACAACATTGTGAACATCCTAAATGCCACTGAACTGTGTCATTTAACCCACTGAGCCACCCAGGCGCCCTGAACTGTGTCATTTAAAGTGATTAAAGTGGGGACACCTGAGTGGCTCAGTTGGTTAAGCGTCTGCCTTCGGCTCAGGTCCCGATCCTGGGGTCTTGGGATTGAGTCCTGCATCGGGCTCCTTGCTCAGTGGGGTGCCTGCTTCTCCCTCTGCCTGTTGCTCCTCCTGGTTCTGCTCTCTCTCCGACAAATAAATAAATAAAATTAAAAAAAAAAATGAAGTGGTTAAGATGTTATGTTACATGTTATATGCATTTAACCACAAGGAAAAAAGAGTGAGAATAAAAAGATGGCTTAGCTCTGCAGCCAGACTTCTGGGTATGAGTCCCAGTCTGACTCTTGAAATCTCTGACCTTGAGCAAGGGCGTTGATCTCTTGTTCTTCTATTTCCTTCTCTCGGGATAATTCTAGTGTCGTCTTTTGGAGCTATTATGTGGGTGCAGTGAGCCCAGGTGCCTGATTGCTAGCTGTTGTTAGTATGGAGGGTCCCCTCTGTTATGAGGCATCTTTGGGAAAACGTTTATCTGTCTGTCTGTCTGGGCCAGAACTGACCCTCTCTGTGCTCCAGTCTCCTCCTCCAGCTCTGCAGACTCAGGCCTGGTCTTTTCTCCTGGAGACACGTGCCCAGGACACTGCAAGGGCCACAGGACCCTGATGGCTGAGGACCAGGTGAGTTCGGGCTTCCCCATCCCCAGGATGATTTTGTGGACCCCAGAGGGCCATTCGCATCTCTGCCTATTGGCTGAAGATTTCTCCACCCCACCCCCCCAGGCATGGGGAAGAGACTATGGTGGGAGGGGCTCTGGACCTGGGAAGTGCTGGGAGGAGGAGAGAAGGAAGGGCAGGATGCCCTGAGCTGGGACTTTATGACCCGGTCTATAAACCACTCTAATGCTCAGCGGACTTTGAGTTGCCAGGAGAGGTGGGCAATGGATGGTTTTGCTTCACCCTGGAGCCTTATCCTTGGAGTCAGGGATGGGGATTGGGATCCCAGTGCAGGTCTGGGATGGAGTGCCACTTAGTTATCACTCTTGCACACATGTCTTGATTTTTAAAAAAGTGTTTCTTAGGGATGTCATATACAGGTATGCAGGTTGTGCACTGCACAAGGGTGCCTCATCTCAGGGGCGGGATTCACATCATATACCTCATACACTGGTACATAATGGTGGTTTTCATGCAGATGGCAGTACACAATGACTTACTAAAATAATTGGCATATTATAAAGACTTTCCAACAGATGGCAGTAAAGAGTCACGCAAAAGGGAGCTTTCTCCACCTTCTGCCAAGGAACCTCTGGGCTAGTAGCTGCCCCAGATTTTCTACATTCCTGTGGGCCATTTTAGTTCAGTTTTCTCAAACCTACTGAGTCCGTATGTTCCAGCCTGAAATGTTAAAGCTGGTTCAACCACTAGCAATGGTAGGCTCTTGACCCATGACCTCTCTGGGCCCAAAGTTCTAGAAGGATGTGCCCCTCCACTATGTAAAATTGGCCCTTGCAGGAATCATTGACCTTCAAGGATGTGGCTGTGGACTTCACCCTGGAGGAGTGGGGCCAGCTGGGGCCTGGCCAGAGGGAGCTGTACCGGGATGTGATGCTGGAGAACTACCGGAACCTTCTTTCCCTGGGTGAGGCCCTGCCCCTGCCTTCCCAGGAAGAGGCGTGATGGCCCCCCTTCTGCTCTCATCTCTTTTGTGCCCACCCACTGCTCAACAGTGGGCATTTGCTGAGGTCATGGGGTGCCCTCTCTGCTCTCCTCACTGGTCGCTCCTGCCTGGCCTCTGTCTGTCCCTCTGTCTCTCCGCCGCTTCTCCTAAAGTCCCTGTGTCCCCCAGGGCCCCAAGTCCTCTGTCCTGAAAAATCCTCAGCCTGTGCCCCCACCTTCTCTTCTTGCTTCCCTTTCCATGTGTGGTGACCTCAGGCTCTTCCCAGCAATGCCTGTTCTAGAATCTCAGACTCCAGATGCATCCTTGGATGTCCTCCAGTCATCTGGCTCCATCTTTCGAAGGCACAGAAATGCTGTTCGCCAAATATGTCTCCCTAGTCCTGTGTTGTCCACCCACCCACCTACTGCGCCCCGTCAATGCCCTTCACATTTGTCACCCTCACCCTGAGCTCCGCGTCTCCACGCTGTCCTGTCCCTCCTCCTCTGGGCCCCCTGCCCCCAGACCAGACACCCCCAGCCCCATCCTTGCTCCTCCCTACCCGCTCCTCAACAGCCCCCCACATCCTCTCTGCCTCCCAACAATCTCTGCCCATCCCCTCCTCTCTGTCCCTGCAACCCCGCCCTGACCCACTCTGGCCTCTTCAGCTGTCGGTCTGGCCACCTCCATCTCTCCTCAACTTCTTTTTCTGATTCTTCTATCTGGCCTTTTCCCTGTAAGCTCTGGTGCTTTGAAGCTCCTTCCTCAGCCGTCCTCACTCACACACTTTCACTGGACCACTCACCAAAAACTGGCGTAAACTTCTGCATCAGGGACCCCAGGAAAGCCCCCAGGTTTGAGGGCTTGAGGAGGGAGGCCCCCCAGGCCTCAGTTGCACTCACACTGCAGCGAAAGGACACCGAGCGCAGTCAGCTAAGAGATAAGCCATGTGGGGCGATGTCTGGGGGAGACCAGGCAGAGTCCCCTCCCCAAAGGGTCACGCAGGATATCCAACAGGATGTGACAGTACGTGTGAGGTGTTGTCCACCAGGGGACGCTCGTTAGAAACCTCCCACCCCCCCCCCCCCCCGGTCAGCACCCAGGGGTTTCACTGAGGTCCTGTCACGTCAGCGGCCAAACTCTAGACTCCCCAAAGGAAAGCAGGGGTTCAGCAGAAACCATGCTGTGCGCCCAGCAGCTTGGGCACGGGGAGCCCTCCTGTCGGTCAGGGAACACTGAGAACCCTCCTGAAACCCAGCTGCCCAGACACCAGCCGCAGGCTGCCTTGTGAGCAGGCCTTTCCAAGGAGAGCCTGCTGTGTGACCCTTTTTCTGCACAAGTTAGGTGTAAAGAGTGAGGTTGCTTTTGCCTGTCCCCTGCAGAAATATATTTCTTCACAGTTCAGAGGCCAGAAGTGCAAAATCCAGCTGTGGTCAGGGCCCTGCTCCCTCTGGAGGGTCCAGGCCAGAGTCCTTCCTGGATGCAGCTTCTGGAGGCTCCTGGCGGCCCTTGCTGTTCCTTGCCCTGTATCCCCTCACCCAAGTCTTGGCCTCCATCTTCACATGACCTTTTCCCTCCACGTGTGTCTGTGTGTCTCTCCTCTTCAAACAAGGACACCGGTCTTTGGACTCAGGGCCCAGCCTGCTCCCAGAGGACCTCATCACTAATTACAGCTGCAAAGCCCCTGTTTCCGAGTAGGGTCACATTGTGCGGTTTCTGTGGATGAAATTTTGGGAGAGCCCTGTTCAACCCACTCTGGGAAAAGGGAAGTCAGTGCAGTCTCAAAGAGAGCAGGCATAAAAAAAAGGAGATAGAAAGAGATGAGATTAATTTTAGGGATGTATTTTCTTGTACCTGGTCCATCCAAAAGATGGTCATTTTGATACCTGTTGAGATGATAATCAATGTGCCAATTATTGATGATATTTTTCTATTTTTCTCCTTGGTAAGTCAGTCTTTAAAGTTCAGTGTGTACCTCACACTCAGCTTGAACCGCACAGAACCAAAGATTGATTGATGGATTGATTGATGGATGGATTTTAGAGAGAGTGAGACTGCGAGTGGAGGGAGGGACAGAAGGAGAGGGAGAGAGAAAGGGAATCTCAAGCAGACTTCCCATTGACCATGGAGCCAGGACCCTGAGATCATGATCTGAGCTGAAACCCAGAGTCAGACACTTAACCGACTGAGCTGCCCACATGCCTGGAACATTAGAGTTTCTCATCATTAGGCACCCAATGTATACAGCTCCCCTGCAGACCCAGGGCCTGGGGCTGAGCTCTGAGGCCTCCTGATGACTTCCAGCCATGGCCAAATCTGGTATCTTTTCCAGGGGCCGGGCCTCCTGGGTCCAAACCTGACGTGATATCTCGTCTGGAGCGAGGGGAGGAGCCCAGAATGGAGAAGAGGGAAGCCCAGCTAGCTGCCTGTCCAGGTGGGTGAGTTCGTCCAGCAGATGTGAGCCATCTGCCTACCCTGTCTGTCTGGATCAGTGACAAGAAGGAGGCAGCGTCACACACAGCCATAGTCGTGGGCAGTGGGCTCAAATCCCAGCTCCAGAACTTCCTGGCTCTGTGATCTTTGGGCAGGTCATTTAGCCCCTCTGTGCCTTGATTTCCTTCCCTGCAAAATGAGGTCAGTAATAGTACCCTGGGTTGGGAAAGATGAATGAATGAACACATAAAAGTATAGCCCAGCACCTGGCACATGGTAATCCCCCTGGTCAGAATAGGCTACAATGATGATCGGTGATTCTTTATTGGGAATCATCTGTGTAGGGACCCAAAAGTGGGATCCTGCTGGACGTGCTGGGGGAAAGGAGTCCGGATGTTTGCCCCCCACTGGCCCACAAACTCCATGAGGGGAGGGGGTTGGAGCTTCTTTGTTTCCATCACTGTCCACCATGTTGTGGGGTGAGACTTGCCCCCTCCTTCCCCTTCACCACAGCCCATTGGTCCCCAGGGCTGCCCTCCTGCCCCTAACTTTTCCCAGACTGCTGTGCTATCTCCCACAGCCCTGGCTCAGGCCTCAGATTCCCTTGGCTGGACCCTCAGCCCAGCCTCCTCCCTCACCTCCCAGCCCCCCGTTCATCTCACACAGCCTGAGAGGGGTTTTTCCACACCCAGAACTAATCCCACTCCTCCCCTACTCACAGCCCTCCCATGGCTCCCTAGTACCCCTGACAGCAAACCCTAGCACTGTGGTTAGCACATAACAGTTATGCAATTAATAGGGGTCCCAAGAACAGATCTACTAGCATCAAAAAATCCATCCCCTTCAACAAATCCCACATGGATATGCTTCCTGCTTATCATCTCTTCTCTATACTTCCCTTCCTCCAAATTGCAATATTGTGCTGTAAAAGCCTCACACACATTTAATATTTATTGACCTTTTTTAAAAAAGGTTTTATTTATTTGAGAGAGAGCTAGAACAAGCAGGGAAAGGGGCAGAGGTACAAGAAGACTCCCTGCTGAGTGGGAAGCCTGACACGGGGCTCAATCCCAGGACCCTGAGATCGTGACCTGTGCCAAAGGCAGACACTTAACTGACTGAGCCACCCAGGCACCCCTATTTATTAATATCTCTTGATCAAATTAAAGTTATGTGTGTTCATCACAGAAACTTTGAAAATCTAAATAAGAATAAGGCAGGAAATGAAACTCTCCCCATAATGCTGATTATCTCTCAAAAAAATTTATTTTTCTCATTTTACCCCAAAGCTTTACTATATTTTTTAAAAGATTTTATTTATTTATTTGACAGAGAGAGACACAGCGAGAGAGAACACAAGCAGGAGGAGTGGTAGAGGGAGAAGCAGGATTCCCGCCAAGCAGGGAGCCCAATGCAGGGCGCGATCCCAGGACCCTGGGATCGGGACCTGAGCTGAAGGCAGACACTTAACCAACTGAGCCCCCCCCCTTTTTTAATTACAAAAGTAAATAATAACAACATGAAAAGTCTTGAGGACATGACGCTAAATTAAATAAGCCAGACACAAAATGACATTGTCATTTTGTGTCTGGCTTACTTACGTGAGGTGCCTTGAGTAGGCAAATTCATTGAGCCAGAGTTGAATGGTGGTGCCCAGGGGCTGGGGAAGGAGCAGCGGGCGTTAGTTTTTAATGAGTACACTGTTTCAGTCTGGGAAGATGAAAAGGTTCTGGAGGTGGATGGTGGTGATGGTGGTGGTGATGATTGCACCCTAGCGTGAGTGCACACATGCAACCCAACAGCACGCCTAAAAATGACCTAAGTGTCACATTTTATGTTGTATGTATTTTACCACAATAAAAAAGTAAATAATAATAAATTCAAAATGCTCCAACTTGGTGGGGGGTGGGGGTGCCTAGGTGGCTCAGTTGGTTAGGTGTCTGTCTTTTGCTCATGTCATGATCCCAGGATCGAGCCCTGCATCAAGCTCCCTGCTCAGCGGGGGAGTCTGCTTCTCCCTTTCCCTCTGCTGCTCCCCATGCTCATGCCCTTGCTCGCTCACTCTCTCAAATAAATAGGTAAAAAAGTTTAAAAAAAAAATATTTTTATTTTTAGGATATTTGGAAGCCATCCTTCCATGTCACAACACAAATCTCTCCTGCCTTTTGAAAGAGCTACCTAAACTTTGAAACTTGCCTTTTAAAGTTTTCCAGTGTCAGTTCAACTTAATCAGTGTCCTTGGTCCAATGCAGATGATAGTCACATTTTCCATGTCTTTCAGCCTTGGATACCAGCTCTGCAACACCTCAGGAGACACTTCTGAGAGAGAGCGTTTCTGAAGAGGCTACTTCCCCTGTGGGAAAGAAGGAGGGGGTTTTAAGGGTAGTGCTTGGAGATGCCAGGCTGGGAGGATCCTGGGCCTGGAGCTGTCAGTTGGAGGACCAGGGAAAGCAAGAGAGGCGTTTGAGGTGTTTGTTTGCTCCTCGCAAGGAAACCATCTGTGGGGAGAAAGGCATGGGGTGTCTCGAGCTGGGGCAGAGCTTCAGACAGACCTCAGCCTTCATCAAGAAGCAAAGAGGGCCGGTGGGAGAGAGAACTCGGAAGAGGAATGGACCAAGAAAGATCCTGAAATGCCAAAGGACCTTCATAGAAAAGAAGCCATTTAACTGCATAGAATGTGGGAAAACCTTCATTTACCATTCAGACTATATTCTGCACCAGAGGACTCACACAGGAGAGAAACCCTACAAGTGCAATGATTGCGGGAAGGCATTCAGCAACAGCTCCTATTTCATTCAGCACCACATCATACACACGGGAGAGAAGCCCTACATGTGCGGTGAGTGCGGCAAGACCTTCACTCAGAGCTCATCGCTTACTGAGCATCAAAGGATCCACACTGGAGAGAAGCCATACAAATGCAAGGAATGTGGGAAGGCTTTCACCCAGAGCTCCTCCCTCATTAAACACCAGCGGTGCCATACCGGGGAAAAACCCTATAAATGCGACCAGTGCGGGAAGTTCTACTCACAGGTGTCCCACCTCACCCGCCACCAGAAAATCCACTCAGGGGAGAAGCCCTACAAATGTGCTGAGTGTGGCAAAGCCTTCTGTCACACTTCCTCCTTGACTCAGCACCAGACCATCCACACCGGAGAGAAACCCTACAAATGTAACGAGTGTGGGAAAACCTTCAGCCACAGCTCATCCCTCTCCCAGCACCAGCGAGTTCACACGGGAGAGAAACCCTATGAGTGCTCCGAGTGTGGCAAGGCCTTCAGCCACAGTTCGTCCCTGACTCAGCATCAGAGAATTCACACTGGTGAGAAACCCTATGAGTGTAATGAGTGTGGGAAGGCTTATACACAGATTTCCCACCTCATGAGGCACCAGAGCGTTCACATGGGAGAAAAACCCTATATATGTAATGAATGTGGAAAGGCTTTCAGTCACACCTCGTCCTTCACACAACACCAGACAATTCACACTGGTGAGAAGCCCTACAAATGTAACGAATGTGGAAAAACCTTCAGCCAGAACTCTTCGCTCACCCGCCACCAGAGGATTCACACTGGGGAGAAGCCTTATGAGTGCAAAGTTTGCGGGAAGGCCTATACCCAGATTTCCCACCTCATCCAACACCAGAGGATTCACACTGGAGAGAAGCCTTATGAGTGCAGCGACTGTGGGAAAGCCTTCAGCCGGAGCACCCACCTTATCGAGCATCAGAAAATCCACACGGGCGAGAAACCCTACAAGTGCAGAGAATGTGGGAAAACGTTCAGTCACAACTCCTCCCTCACCCAACATCAGAGAATTCACACTGGCGAGAAACCCTATGCCTGTAAGGAATGCGGGAAAGCCTTCAACCAGAGCATCCACCTTATTCAGCATCAAAGGACCCATACTGGAGAGAAGCCCTATAAATGTAACAACTGTGGAAAAACCTACACCCAGATTTCACACCTTATTCAACACCAGAAGGTTCACGTGGGTGGAAAACGCTATGTGTGTAAGGAATGTGGGGAGGATTTCAGCTGGAGTTCACACCTGACTGAACACCGGAGGCTTCACGCTATGCACAGCACCTACGTCTGCAATGATTTTGAGAAAGCCTTTGCATGGAGCACACAGCTTGCTGATATTCCGAGAACTCTCGGCGACCAGAAAGCCTAAGAAATTAGCAGGTGGGCGATTCTGATGCTGGGTTCAGTGCAGCCTTCATCAGCACCAGTAACTTCCTCCCAGAGAGGAACCCTAACACCGTATACTGTGAGAGAGAGTTGCTTCTCTGTTTCCTTCAAGGAGCTGGTGCCACTGATCATCTGCTGGGACACCTGATCATTTTAGGAGCTCCCTCCTAAAATCTCAGCTTCCCCCCTATTTTTCAGTCTTACGGTGTCCCCAGAGGGTGGTGTAAATGGAACGAGACATCATCTGACATCTTTAACAAGGTCTCTGTGAACTTTTTTTTTTAAGATTTTATTTATTTGTTTGACAGAGAGAGATCACAAGTAGACAGAGAAGCAGGCGGGGGTGGGGTTGGGGTGGGCGGGAAGCAGGCTCCCCGCCAAGCAGAGAGCGTGATGCGGAGCTCCATCCCCGGACCCTGAGATCATGACCTGAGCCGAAGGCAGAGGCTTAACCCACCAAGCCACCCAGGTGCCTCTCTGTGAACTTTTTAAATTTATCGATCAGTTATTAAATTGGAGCTCGGAAATTCAAGAAAAAAATCACAACTGGAAAGATTAACCCTTTAGAGTATAAGTCTATGTAGCTGAACATCAACACTAGATTTTAGTATCCTACAAAAGTTCAAGCTACAAATTTCATGACCAAATCTGCAGTTGGCTTAAACACAGTATGTTCCACTATTTACAGTCATTTTAAAGGCTTATTTTGTGCATCTTTCTCAGTCTAGGATTTATGCTTTATAAAGGAATTGCCGTCTTAAGCATCATTTTCTGTTTTTCTTCATGCCCCAAAGTAAGTTTTTCTTTCATCCTATTTTCATCATAAAAACATACTATTTAAAAAGGGGGCAGGTAGTGCCTGGATAGCTCAGTCCGTTAAGTGTCTGACTCTTGACTCCAGCTCAGGTCTTGATCTCAGGGTTATGAGATTAAGCCCTAAGTCAGGCTCTGCACTGAATGTGGCGTCTACTTAAGATTCTCTCCCTCTGTCTCTCTCTCTCTCTCTCTCTAAAAAACCACCCAAAAACAACAAACAAAAAAACCATAGTGTTTATATTTTATTATAAAAATAATACACATACTTTTATAACAGGAAACATTTTTAAGTAAAATAACATATGCTTATTGTAAAGGATAATTTGGAAAGTATCAAGAAGTATGGAATAAAATACAGATTCCCTGTAACCACATAGCCCAGGGAGAGCCCATCATTTTGCGTGTATTTCTTCCTGGTTTTGTTTTACTGTTTTACTCTGTCTTCCATATCAGTATATATTTTTTAAAGATTTTCTTTATGTATTTGACAGAGATCACAAGTAGGCAGAGAGTCAGGCAGAGGGGGGGGGGCGGACAGGCTCCCTGCTGACTCGATCCCAGAACCCTGAGATCACGACCTGAGCCGAAGGCAGAGGCTTAACCCACTGAGCCACCCAGGTGCCCCATATCCATATTTTTAATCATGAAACAAAAGCAATATACTCACCTTCAACTTGGCCAACCTCAAAAGTCCTATGGTCTTGATTTTTTTTTATTCCCTTTCAAGTATTATCTTAGAATAAGTGTTCTTTTATTTCATTGTGATCAGAGTGTAGAAACAATTTTGGCTTCTCTGATTTGCCCCTGTTACACCCTGAGCATTGTCTTTTGTAATCCCATACACTTCATACTCCTCATCATTTGGGCTAATAATATTTCACTGGTGGGTGTAAAATTTACAAGTCCATTCTCCCACATGGGTTTTGTTCTAAGCCCCTCATTGACACAGGTGCTTCCCCAGTTTTCCCAATTATGAATGTTGGAATGAGTATTTCCACACCTGCTTCCTCTGTTCTTCTCAGGAGATTATTTCTCTAAGTCATATTCCCAGGATGGAAATAGGAGAAGCACGATTCTAATGATTTTCCTAAATACTGGAACATTTTGTCAGATTGCTTTCCAAATCGGCCGGACCCAGTCTTCCTGAGACAAGCTGGGCACAAGGACTGCCGTCCACATTTTTACCAGCACTGAACATCCATAATTTTTTCCTCTGTCAAATATATGAGATGACAAACATTTTTTTAGTAACTTACTATGTGCCAAGTTCTGTCCCAAGCCCTTGGTATGTATGAATTCTCTTTCTTTGAACAATCCCACCTGTTCAGGACTGTATTGTCCCATTTTACAGGTAAGGACACCAAAGCACGGGAGATGAAGTGGCCAAAACCTCATGGCTATGAGCTTGTGGAGTATAGAGATTCAAGCCCAGGTAGTCAGGCTCAGAAGCTATGCTCTGAACATCTATGGGGATTGAACACATTTCACATATAACATTTCCTTCTTAAAGTAATGTTTATTATTATAAAACTCAATACATGCTTCTTATAGAAAATTTAGAAGATCCAAGAAATCCAGAAGATTTCACCCAAAGTCCAGTTTCATGCAGACATAGCTGTTAACATTTGGGTCACTTCTGCTATTTAAAAAATAATATAGAATATTATAGATGCTTTAATAAATTTGGGGTATACTGAATATACAATTTATCATACTTCTAGTTTACTTTATTATCACGAGCCCCTATCATTAAATATAACCATATCATTAAATCATCTTTTTTTTTTCAGTTGCCATTAATTTTTGGCTCTTGGGGCAATGTTATCTTTTCAATATGAAAAAAAGCAAGTTCAACACAAAATAGAAATTTGAAGTGTAGGACAGGATGAAACCAAGGGCAGTGGAGGGAATAGCAAAAGGAAAAAATGAGATGTTGCCAAAGATGGGAGGGTCTCCTTGTCCCCTCTCTGGAAGAATGATTCAAAAGATTTAGGTGGCAGTACAAACCTTTCTGTATATACACAGCAGAGCTGGGTGTTTACTAAGAAAGGGTGGGGATGTGGAGGGTCTTTCTGGAGGCTAGTCCTTATTCCCCTTCTTGGCCCCCATTTCCAACCAAGGGGAAAAGGAAGGAATCCAACATGTGAAGGTGGTTCTGTAGGAAAAGGGAAGGATCCTGCTTTAACAGGGGTGGGGCAGACCCCTGCAAAACAAGCAGCTCAGGACACAGCTTGGAAGAAGATGGAAAAATAGAGATAATACTGTCAACACCTCTCCTGAAGCTGAGAGGAGCAGGGAAATTCCTGGAAATTAGGACTCAAGAGCCTGGATATCCCTCTCCAAAACTGCTCTAGAATAGAAAACCCTACCCCTTCCTTACAGGTACCTCTACTGCTATGAGGTAGCTTTGTTTCCTTTCCCCGGGCCTACCACATGGGCTTAGGATGATGTCCATCTACTGGGTTTTAAGCACTTGGTTCTAGATGGGATCTGATGAGACCCAGCTTCTTGGAGAATTATCTTATAAAACAAAGGGAAATACCAACTGGACAGATGGGAGAAGGGGACACCGAAAGGAAATACAGGGTTACTGAGAATGGCAGAAATCTAGGTTTCCCAGAGTGGAAGAGAGGAGACATTCAACAAACAACAAGTATTTTTTATTGAGTGCCTATTATGTGCCAGGCACTGTGTTCTAGGACCCCCCCCCCCCAAAAAAAAGGAAAAAAAAAAGAGAGGCAGAAAATGTAATTCTGAGGGAGAGGACAGGGGCAGCTGAGGAAGAAGGCTGAGGGAATGGAGAGTCTCTAATGGTTCACCTCCCCTTCCAATTTCCCTCAACACCCTTCTCCTCTCCATCTCCCCTTGTTCTCCATGCTATTTGTTATGCTCCACAAATAAGTGAAACCATATGATAATTGACTCTCTCTGCTTGACTTATTTCACTCAGCATAATCTCTTCCAGTCCCGTCCATGTTGCTACAAAAATTGGGTATTCATCCTTTCTGATGGAGGCATGATACTCCATAGTGTATATGGACCACATCTTCCTTATCCATTTGTCCGTTGAAGGGCATCTTGGTTCTTTCCACAGTTTGGCGACCGTGGCCATTGCTGCTATAAACATTGGGGTACATATGGCCCTTCTTTTCACTACATCTGTATCTTTGGGGTAAATACCCAGTAGTGCAATGGCAGGGTCATAGGGAAGCTCTATTTTTAATTTCTTGAGGAATCTCCACACTGTTTTCCAAAGTGGCTGCACCAACTTGCATTCCCACCAACAGTGTAAGAGGGTTCCCCTTTCTCCACATCCTCTCCAACACATGTTATTTCCTGTCTTGCTAATTTTGGCCATTCTAAGTGGTGTAAGGTGGTATCTCAATGTGGTTTTAATTTGAATCTCCCTGATGGCTAGTGATGATGAACATTTTTTCATGTGTCTGATAGCCATTTGTGTGTCTTCATTGGAGAAGTGTTTGTTCATATCTTCTGCCCACTTTTTTATATGATTGTCTGTTCTGTGTGTGTTGAGTTTGAGGAGTTCTTTATAGATCCTGGATATCAACCTTTTGTCTGTACTGTCATTTGCAAATATCTTCTCCCATTCCGTGGGTTGCCTCTTTGTTTTGTTAACTGTTTCCTTTGCTGTGCAGAAGGATTTGATCTTGATGAAGTCCCAAAAGTTCATTTTTGCTTTTTTTTCCTTTGCCTTTGGAGACATATCTTGAAAGAAGTTGCTGTGGCTGATATCAAAGAGGTTACTGCCTATGTTCTCCTCTAGGATTCTGATGGATTCCTGTCTCATGTTGAGGTCTTTTATCCATTTTGAGTTTATCTTTGTGTACGGTGTAAGAGAATGGTCGAGTTTCATTCTTGTACATATAGCTGTCCAGTTTTCCCAGCACCATTTATTGAAGAGACTGTCTTTTTTCCACTGTATATTTTTTCCTGTTTTGTCGAAGATTATTTGACCATAGAGTTGAGGGTCCATATCTGGGCTCTCTACTCTGTTCCACTGGTCTATGTGTCTGTTTTTATGCCAGTACCACGCTGTCTTGGTGATCACGGCTTTGTAGTAAAGCTTGAAATCAGGTAACGTGATGCCCCCAGTTTTATTTTTGTTTTTCAACATTTCCTTAGCGATTCAGCATCTCTTCTGATTCCATACAAATTTTAGGATTATTTGCTCCAGCTCCTTGAAAAATACCGGTGGAATTTTGATTGGAATGGCATTAAAAGTATAGATTGCTCTAGGCAGTAGAGACATTTTAACGATGTTTATTCTTCCGATGCAAGAGCATGGAATGGTCTTCCATCTTTTT